CGATTTCAGGAAGGAAAGTGTCGCAGTCAAACTGCTGCAGGACTTGTGTGACAAACAGCCTCCTGGTTCCTGGGCTTTCCATCAACTCCTGTGCAGCCCAAAACAAAACAAAAAGTGGGGAGTTATAGGTAGTTGAAGCTAATTGCTTAATAAAAAACAAATTAACTGAAGCAGTGAGCAGAAGAGCAATGAGAGTAAGAAAAATGTGTAGTTTAGACATGTCAAATGTTCTACCTCGGGTGGAATTTAAGATGAAACAGAAAAAAATAATGACCTTGTACAGAGAGCTTCCTCCTATAACCCAGACCTGGTCAGCTTGTTCTGCCAGTTCTGTGTCAACTAATGTTAGAGCTGAGCTGAAGTCTGACGCCACATAGTGTGCTCCTGCAGGTGGCACCCTAGAGCAAATTAGATCAGATAAGGTTAACTTTAACACTGCAGGTCACTTGGCATCAAGGTAGACTGCATTAATCCAGTATACACACATACATATACACACATATGCATGAGTATATACACAAATTCTTTTTATCCAAATTATTTAGACATTTCTATGGAACTACAGCCCTTTTAAATTTCCATCTGTTCCTGTTTCAGCTTTTTAGGTCCAGGTTACTGGTTCTCATTCGATCTCTTTTTCTTGATCTAAAGGTTGTATTAAAAGTCCATTAAAAGTGCCAATTTTACATTAAAGAAGAAGTGGGCAATTCCAGGCCCTGAGGGCCGGTGTGCTGCAAGTTTTAGATGTCTCCCTGGTCCAACACAGATTCAGATAGCTGAATCACTTCCTACGTGCAGCCAAGTTGTCCAGAGTCCTGCTAATGACCTCATTATTTTGACTCAGGTGTGTTAAAGTAGAGACGCATCTAAAAGTTGGGCCTGGAATTGCCCACCCTTGCATTAAAGTGTCATTATTTAAAAAATAATGCAAAGTTTGGCACTTTTAAAAGGACTTCTAATATAACTTTTAAAGCAACTTCTTATTAAAAGAGGTGTTATGATGTGTTTATGACAGTATCAGGTCAGTCTTATTCACACCCGTCAAATAATATTATCCACATTTTCAAGAGTACACTGAATTATCACAGAATTGTACAAATTGTCAACATATTCAAAGTTGACAAAGTTTAAAATTAGCACAATGCTGAGTGAAACTCCTTCCTAAAGGTGAAGATATATCACAGATTTCAAAAGAAAATAAAACAGGAGACAGCAGATAATATAGGAAATAGCGCCCCCTTCACTTCTGGAGTTCAATGGTCCCATTTCCAAATAAGGTAAAATAAGGTATGAGACTGACAGTGCTCCATCCCCACCCCTTTGTTTGATGCAGCAAGGTGTACTTGTTTTTTTTCAAAACCATAGAAAGAAGAAAAGCTAAGAACCCATGAAGGTATCAGACGCTGTTCAAATTAGCCATTTTTACTCGCATAATATTGAACTAGAGAGGACTTTTGGTACATTCAAGCTGGTGACATCACAGTCTGAGTGAAACACAACAGGACAAGAACCGATGGAAATGAAATGTGGGTCATGAAAGGAGCCCGAAGCCAGGAAGGCTGCTAAGGCGTTGCTAGCTGGTGGTAAGTTTGCTCAAAAATGCTAATTATCTTTGTTTAATTGGAAACAGTGCAGTACATTTATAAAGGAACTTATGTTGGTTTCAGAAATAGTTCTTTTGTCAGTTTTATTGTGATCTTTATGATCATTATGATAACAATCATTCAACTTTATAACCACATAGAGGTTCTGTTTGTTGCAACTTGATAGTTTTCTTCATAAACTCAACCAAAGCAAATTCAGATGAAAGAGGATGCCAGGGATCTGGAATTAGAAAAGCTAAAGACTTTCCTGTCCAGAAGAGGCCCTGGCTCCACCAGATCACCAACCAGTTCTGAGGATGAACCTCCACATCTTCTTCATGGTGTAAGTCTTTTTTTTCTTTTTTACTGAGCAGTTGTCACATTTTTAACATCAAAAACTGGTGTGTAAGCAACACTAAGTGCTTAATAAACATGATTTGATTTATACCTGTTGTTTTATTGTGCTAATTTTCATAAGCATGTTGTCTGTGAACTTTGACTATATTGACAATTTGTACAATTCTGTGATAGTGTATTGTCAATGTACTCTTGAAAAATGTGGGTAACACTTTATTTGATGGGCTGTGAATAAGACGGACAAGATACTGTCATAAACACGTCATAACACCTGTTAGGAACATACTAACAGGTGTTATTCAGTAATAATGACACTTTTAATAAGAAGTTGCTTAAAAGTTGGATGGCAGGTGTCATGTTAGTCTTATGCACACTCCATCAAATAAAGTGTTACCAAAATAGTGATACCGTATATTGAAAGCACAATGTAATTACAATTTAAATACTATTAAAATACACTAAGCACATTAGTTGTTCCAAAATGTCACATTTAAGTTAACTAATCCTAAGTGAACTTGAAGTATACTCATGGTTAGTGTGACTTAAAGTATGCTTAAGTATACTAAAATTTAATGTACTTAGTACATTCAGTTTTCACCAGGGATGTGTTCGACTGAATGAAACTTGTTTTTAAAAAAATTATTTTGTATTCAAACCAGAGTGAAATATTACGGAGCCCCCTAAGGGACATGGGAATTGTTTTTTCTTTTGCGAAAAGAAAAAACAATGCAAAACCTTTTGCGAGGGGACGCAAAAAAAATTTCCCATGTCCCCTCGGGGGATCCGTACCGTAAAATATAAACTACATATAGAAAACTGAAACAAAATGCTGACAAGGAGTTCCTGAACGGTGGGTCACGTGCACTGTTTTTTTTTGTGCGTCATACTTGTACTTCCTGCTGAGAGGACGATGTTGATCCTGCCTTTCAGTGGCCTGTTCTTCTCTGGGATTGAGAACCAGGTCTTCCTTCCCATGATGACCACATTCTTCCTGCCTACAGGAGAGTTTCAGTGGCTTACTAATACAACTGTTTAACAATTTCTCTGCGTACCCATCACACAGAGAAATTGATGGTTTAAGAAGCAACAATTAAATTTGTAGCACTCCATAACCCATGTTTATGGAGGCTCTGACATCTAAGGAGGATTAAGTTACCTGCTACAGACGGTGTGGCAGTCATCTTTCGGAAATGAGCGAATTCGTTGCTGAAAATTTGAAAATTCAAATGACTTTATTGATCCCAAAGGGGTTCAGCACAGCTTCATTCCCTCCTGAGCAACTGCAATGGTAACTGACCTGAGTCGAATAGGATGCCAGGGCAGCTTCCCATCCTTCCCGATGCCCAGGTTGGGGCACACCGCCACAATTCCGTTCAGGACCCGCGACATGGAGAACGTAGTCTTCTTCTCAAAACTGCTGACAGCCAGCGTTTCCCGCCAACCGGAAATTACGATCTAGTCCTGGATAACCATTTCCGTATATTTCATCTACTGCCCCCTGTGTACATAGGTGGTATTGATTGAATTTAAACAATTATTCTGTACACTTAAATAATAATCTTATAAAGGATATTTTCTAGTTTCCCAAAGATACTGACAAATAATATTTTTTACAAGATTTAGGCATATGACAAAGTGAGGACAAGAAGTGGTTCAGAAGTCACTAGTGCCACATGTGGCATTAGTGACATGTGGCACTGAAACTCAAGCAAAAAACTGCAAGAGAAAGAGAGAACAAGAAACCAATTGAAAACATGAGAAAGGAGAGAAGCTGCTCTCTACCAAGTCATAGTCACAAGTATCATGGATTGTTTCCCTGAGCTGAACACTAACCAAGGTGCCAATTCACAAGAAATATTGTTTCATGGCACAAGTGGTTTAAAAGTTTGTACCCAAGAAAACCCAGCAGATTGCATCGAGTCATTGACTTGGAGAATTAATTCCTCCTGTAGTGACAACTGCTTGCATTGTACTGTTGACTTTACAGCAATCCTTTGTACAGAGCATGAATGTAGCAGCAGTGGAGAGGAAAATCTCCCTTTAACTGCAAAAAACCTCTAGCAGAACCAGAACCTGACTCAATAAGTGGCCATCTGTCATGACCAACTTAATTGGTGGCAGCATTATCTCAGCTGATGTCTTCCTCCAAGAAGGAATCACAGTCAGAAACTGCCACACAAAATATAGCTTCTATGGAGATGAGCTATAAAAGGAGAGAAGATGTAGATTGACATTATGGTCTTTGGGGGAAAAGGTATGATTTTGTGAACCATTTGTTTTCACAAAACCACACCACCCAGATAGTTGTTTACATTGGAAATACAAGCCTTTACTTTTTTGTATAGCAAAATTTTAATATTACAGGACATCAATTAAAATGGATATTCTTCACAGAAATTCAAAAACACTTTATTGACCCCAAAGGGAAATTAAATGTAACTCATATTAATTTAAATTATCAAAGAGTTGATGTTGGTAGAAAAGAAGTGATGGGGTAAATAATTCTTCTGATTTAAGTGGCGTTGTGGTTTAGATTTCACCTGATTTTATAATTTCTATATTCAACCCTAGAAGAGAGTTTTCTAATATTTATTAGTAAACAGGAAGATAAAAGAGTAGGGACGCATGACATAGTGGTACTAAAACGGTATCGACTGATTGGTAAATTTTTTGAATATTGGTATAATAAAACTGGGCCAATATTAACTACTAATATTTATTTTTTGTTGCCGTTTGTTTTTAGAGGGGGAGGAAAAAGGTTAGTCATATGGTCTTTGTTCTTGTGACTAATGCAACACAGAATTGTGGGAAGTTTAACTGAAGAAAACAGTGGAGAAGTCAATGTGTGGAGAAATAATAAAATAATATCAGTACAGGTAAAACATGTAGTACAACTTTAGAAGCTCAACCAAGAAACATAAATTATTCAAAGCATTTGAGTAAGTGCAAAGATCTGTTTCATTGAACATTGAAACACAGACTTTAAAACTATATACTTCAAATCTGGGTTCAGATGATGTAAAAACCCACATCAGGCACTTTGTACTTCAACCAGTTTTTTTTTATTTACAGACACAGCAGTTTTATCCTTAATGTTTCGATGGAAGGGAAGGATGAATGAAAAACAACCTTTTACTCTTCAAAACAAAACATTTTAAGCATTGTTAGTAGGGTGATCTTCATGCAGCCTGAAAAACAAAATCGTGAGTTGTGAGAGCCAATTCTTCAGACAGAGGGATCAGAGGTGAGGGGTTGATACAGGGCAGGAAGACTGATTCTTTGGGCCCAGTGGCAGTTTCTGATATGGGCAAAATGGGCAACCACCCAGGGTGTTATCTTGTGGGTGACATGAGTGCCCTCAGCCCCTCACATTGTGTATATTCTCCTCTCCTTCCTCCCCCCACTGCTTTCAACCGGAGGATCGGATTGTCAGTAGTGCACCCAATCCACCTCACTCCCTTTGTAGAGTGCTTTGCCCAGAGTGCCAAACTGGCTAGGACCGCCTCAGTTTGGGGCTCATGTAGCAGTCCGACTGTGAATGCAGCAGGGACAGCAGTGCAGTGATTCATGGATGAAGAGATCACACTCCCCACAGAACACACTGCGGCACAAAGGACAGGCGAAGACCTGGAAGCCAGCAGAGAGAGGGAGAAGGGAGAAACATTCCAGATGTTGAGGAATGATTGGTCCAACAAAGCTGGTCAGTAGCTAACATACCTGGCCTGGAATGTGAGAGCAAATTATTTCCCCAGTTTTAGTTAAATTAATTCATTCTGGGTTCCCTTGAAACACAATTTGTGTATGTTTTAAACTCAACTGACTGTAAGGCTACAATGGTTGTACAAAATGGAAAGAAAACTCATTCTAAAGATTACAAATTTCAAAGAAATGCCAGGGTCTTTAGGAACTCAACATTTAACACTATTACAAACACACAGCTGCTTTCATGTTGATAAATATATGCTACAACTTTTTATACAAACCAAACATTCTCATTTATGTAATAATTTCCAAGAAGAAATAGAGCTGGTGCTCTTCTTCCTTGAAGATCTAAGCCCGGGCTGTCTAACTCCAGTCCTCGAGGCCACTGTCCTGCAGTTTTTCCACAGGTACAAAACACAGGAATGAAACGGTGTAATTACCTCCTCCTTGTGTACATCAGTTCTCCAGAGCCTGGCTAATCACTAATTATTCTATTCAGGTGTGGTGCAGCAGAGGCACATCTAAAAGTTGCAGGACACCGGTCCTCCAGGACTGGAGTTTGACACCCCTGATCTAAAGAGTAACCAATTTTCTGAATTCTACTTACATTTTTATCTTTCAGCTGCCCTTGACAGGCCTGACAGAACCTGAAAGAAATGACACTTCAGGTCACACATCACAGCAATAATGACACAGGTAAGTGAAAATAAGCATTACCTATTCTGTTGATAATTCTCAGCTGGACTCTCAACAAATGCTTGGAGGGGAAACAGATGATGAAAGGATCTGGCCAGATGTGGAGCAGACACCAGTGTCAAACCTGAGAGGTTTGATGCACACAGTTAAAGCTTTGTCAACTTAAAGACATTAACAGAGAAAAATGAGCATCAGCTTCATAAAACATTCCATACACAATGAATGCCTGCATCACACATACCACAGACTTTACACTCCACAGGAAGCTCTGTGTATTTTGCTTGACACTGTGGACAGAAGTATCCTCCTAGAGTCAGAGCCGGGCTGCCACTGCTGTCCAAATGACTTGGAACAAACACACACACACACACACACACACACACACACACACACACACACACACACACGCACGCACACAAAACTCATTGTGGGAACCAGCTGTTAATATGGTGGAGTTTCTTTTTTTCTTTACTCACGACATGCTGAATGACGGTTTGACATCTTGATCATTCAGAGAGGCTACAGTGTGCTGAGGAAAACCTAAGCAAAAATGGGTTCATGTTAGTATCAACAGTCCAAACAAAGCACAGACAAAGAAGCTGGCTCTAGCTAGACGGCCTGAATACAATTACATCTTTTTAATGCCATTTTACTCATTAGAACCAAGTGCATTTCAAGGGCCCTGGAAACTTGATTTTCAAACAAAACACAGACTCAATAGTCCAGGTAAGATGCCTCAGCTGTTGTCTCTGGCTTGTCATGCTTTTCTGGAATGGATTTAGCTTGACAAGCCTTTCAAGGCTGCAGCTCTCCCTATTGCTTATGCATCTTTTTCTACCATACTTCTTCCTTCCACTTAATTGTATGTTAATATGCTTGGATACAGAGCTCTCTGAACAGCCACGCTCTTCAGCAATGATGTTTTGTGGCTTCCCCTGCTTGTGAAGAGTGTCAATAACTCTGTTCTGGACATCTGCCCAGTTAGTGGTATTCCCCATGATGTTTGCCCACTGACCTGGAGTGAGAGAAACTTCTGCAGGTGTCTTGAGTTAATTAGCTGATTAGGGTGCAATATTATGACATTCCACTAATGACCTTTTATACAGTAACAGTATTTTAATAATTAAAAACTACATGTATTTAATGCCTAATTGATCGTAACAATAATCAGTGTTTGCCTTGACAACAGACTGGGACTGGAGATGCAGCAGTGAAGCATCTATAAGAAGGAGGAGAGTGGATAGGACTTCTTGAGGAAGCTGAGATCCTTCAAGGTTTGCACCAAGATGCTGCAGATCTTCTATAAGTCTGTTGTTGAGAGTGTCTTCTCTTCTGCTGTCAACTGCTGGGGCAGCAGCATCAGAACCAGGGACCTAAAAAGGCTCAGCAACCTGAAAAAGAAGGCTGGTTCTGTTCTGGGAGCGACTGTGGAACCTTGTGAGATGATAGTGCAAGGAAGAATTCTTCATAGGATCAAGAAAATTAGGGACAACCCAGTGGACTGCCAGTGGACCACCTCAAGCAAATTTTCTGGGGGAAACCCCGACTCCCCTTCCAGTGCCAGAATACTTTTAATCTATGACATAAACTGAAGGAAACAACAAGAAACATTTCAAGAAACCAAACATCTCTTTCAGGAGAGGAAACTCAACTTTTATAATGCCGGCAGCAAAATATGTTGCAATTCTGGTTAATTTAGAGAATATGAATGTCAAACATTCTAGTACTGACCCATTCGTATTAAAGAGCTTTCCGATGAGAAGCTTGCTGGCGGAGGTTTGACATGAAGCATGAGCAGCTCTTTGAAGTGACTCTCATCTAGGATGACATTGTAGGATCCACCCGTGTCTCTGGTCAGAACTGTGCACACTCGAACTTCCGCTGACAGGCCAATTACTGACACTCGCACCTTAAGAGACTTCAGGGTCTGAAAGGAAAGAAAAACATGTAATTTGTGCTCCTTGTTGCCAAATAAGTTGGAGAAAAAGAATATTACAGCGTAATAAACAGTGTAACTAAACAAAGTGATAATAAACCAGTATGTGAACCTCAGCACAAGTGATATACAGTGATATACAGTGAACCCTCGCTATAACGCGGTTCACTTTCTCGGCCTTCCAGATTTTTTGTGCAGTTTTTCTCACAGTGCATTGTGTTGTGCGTCCTGATTAGCTAAACACTTCTTTTCTACCTGTGTGCCAATAACGTTACGGTATTTAAATATAAGTCATACAGCTTGGCAAATTTTGGCAAATATTTTTGCCCAGAAGAAAAAAGAGCAACAACAACTACCGATAACTATGTCCTTCTTTTGAAAAACCATACCTACACCACAGGCTTCAGAAGAAAAAGACACTGCAGTGGATCCAGGCTGCAGCGTCACAGTCAGAGGCACAGTGAAATACACTAGTCACGATTTGTCCAACTACACTTCGTATTGATGATTAAAATGATTATTTTACTGTAGTTATTTGTAAGAAAGCGTTATATTGTTAAAAAAAATGCTTGAGCATGAAAACAGGTTTTGTTCTTTGGCTTCAATGTAGAGTATTTAATTATGCTGTTTAGTAATTGTAAAAAAATAAAGGTTACTACTTCACGGATTTTGTCTTATCACAGGTTCTTTTTGGAACGCAACCCCCGCAAAAAACGAGGGTTCACTGAATCTGAAAATGTAGTCAGATAGATCACAAAAAAAACACTCTCTTCATAACAATGACTTAGCTTCTGTGTCAGAAGCTAAGTCCATCAACATAGGATTGTCTCTGGGTGTTGTGCCTAGAGTCTATGCCCTAGACGGATATCTGGACACATAACTCTTCTAAATACCTGCCTGGGATTAGAAGTCTGGAATTAAACATGTCTTCACCTTGATTAGCTCATATATGTTAGCTGGGTCACATGTGGTCAGGCTGCTCAGGATGATAAGGATTTCTCTGCTGGTGTGTCCAGGCATGTGCCTTTAGAGAGAAAGAATCTTAAATGTTGATGTTTCACTCAAAAAGCCTCTGTGGAACAGCATCTGTAGTGAACCCACTTGAGAGTTTGTATAGCCAGGCTGAGAGAGTTGTACAGAGAAGGCTCTCCGATACATGAGCTGTCAACTGCTTTCTTCAGAGCAGCAATGTGCTTCTTTGGATTTCCTGTTGGAGAAACAAAATAAAGGATGGGCAGGTTTAACTGGCACATCAGAGACTGAGCACCGGAGGAGTGAGCAGGAGAAACCCTGCAACCAACCCATTTACTCTCTCTGGTGATGCACAATATTAGGAAAACATGTAAACTGTTGGAAAGACAACATGGTGTATAATACACATAGTTAGCTGAACAATATGAATGTGTTTTGCCTTGGATTCATTGGAAACTTGGATCCAAGACAAGAAGCAGTCTATCAGCTACTGTGAACAACTGGACATCACTATTTCTGGTAACACAGTTTCATTGGAAAGTTTCACCTGGTTACATCTGCTGCTTCAGAAGAGAAACAGCTAATCTGTAATTTATTTTCATCTTTTCCAGAACATGCTATTGGTTCCTGAAACACTTTGTTTCATTAGAAAATGAGGTCACATCAAACAAATGACGAGCTGAGAGACTGAATGCATTGCACTTCTATAATATATTTGTTGCAGTCCAAGCTGTTCATTGGCTCCAAGAAATATTTGACTTTTGAATATTTGACTTAGAGTTACAAGCTGCTCTCTATATACTGTATAGAGATAAATTAAAAGTTTGCTAAAAAATATGCTGCTCATATGTCCCTTCAGTCACATTAAAGGCATGGTCCATCTGAACCTCATATTTAGACCTGAGTTATTTATTTGTTATGAAATGATAGATTACTATAGTAGGCATGTCAAATAACTAATTTTGCTGGACAACAAATTGTTCTAGAAGTCATAACAAATAAGGGTTGTTTTGAAACCATTTTCAAGTAAAATAATGGCATAACGCAAGATCTTTGAGATCTTTCGATTCAATAAACTGCCAAATCATTGAACATTTAACACTTGAGCTGGAAAACATTTTAATTGTATCCAAATAAGCAAACAACAACAGGTACAACAAATAAGTTAGTTATGAAGTCTCTATAAACAAAATTGTCCTTCAAGAAAAGGGTTAGTTGATGTCAATGCACCAGACTGAAGACTTTATTAATCCAATATTGGTAGAAAGAAAAAGAAAAACAGTAAATCATGTAAATGGAAATTACTGAGTTTGTTTTATTATGCAATTACTTAATTTATTGCAACAGGCCTAAACCATAGTTGATACCATATGTATGTAGAGGTTTTTTTTTTCAACTGGCAAGCTCGTCTCTGTTTAGTGAACCAGGAACCATTAAAAGATTTCTGTTATCTGTGCAGATAACTGTGCAACACCCTGAGGCAATCCTATGTTGATGGACTTAACCTCTGAAAGGGTATAGCTGACTCTGGTACAGTACACTGGCTAATGAAAAAATATTTGATCCTTAAAAAAAAGAAAAAAGACACTAACATTATGGATCAATTCAGGATATGGGTAGATGAGGCAGAAGTCATTAAAGAAAAAGAGTGTGTAAGCCTGGGGGACTACAGAATGTCAGATGCCATGGTTCTAGAATCGTTCTCTGTTTAAATCCCTTTTGAAACGATGATTCATTCATTTCCAGAGTGCAGGAAATGGATGCAAGTCCACAGACTACTGGAATACACTGCAGCAGGCTGAGATAAGCCCCTCTGCACATGAGCAGAGCAATGCTTCCTGTTTCACCATTCAGTACCAAAGACAGCTTTAATTCAGATTTTGAAGTCTGATTGTTTATGTTGCACCCTCTAAAAATCCAGAATACTGAAACAAAGTCTATATTCAGATTAGGCTTTGACAAAAATATGTGAATAAAAAAATATACTAAAAAGTTTTGTTTAGGATCTACATCAGGTGTGAGCATAAATGACTATAAAAGTGGTCAAATATATTACTGACAGGCAATGTTCGAAAGCATAACTCTTAAATCCTCCTAAAATAGCATTCTAAATTTTGCGCAAATTTTCACAATTGCAATATGAAACATATTGAGCTCTTTTATGCTTATTTATTAGGACCCCATTAGTCTCCATTCAAGTGGTTATTATTCTTCCTGGGATCCAATTGATAAAATACAAAAATATTCATATAAAATGTAGGACAATGTTGAGCATGTAATGCAGAAGTACCCGTTGTATGCACAACATTATACATAATTTTTACAAATTCCATATGTGAACATGGAATTTTTAAAAGAGAAATTCCAAGTGTGCCATTTAAATCTCTGATGTTCTGAGGAAATTATTTCCATTCCTTAATTGCTATATTGACAGATTTTTTTATGACAAATTGTTTTAGCACAGTTTAGCATTACATTTGTCTCCCTACAGTATCTGGTAAAATGATTAAATATCAGAATAAAAACTTTTCATAAATGATTTATGTTTCCTGTTAGTATGACTTCCTTTATAAATATGAGTAAATCATGCACCAACCTAACAGTCAATAGAACCCACTAAAGTGTGGTGCATTTCATTAACACTTGTAGAGGATGGACATGTTATCACTAAGTGAGCAGCCTTAATCTGGACTACCTGCAGCCTTGACTAGCCTTGACTAGACCTCATAACTGAGCCTGGTCCTCATAAAACAGGTCAAACATAGTTGATTTGTGCATATGAACCACTCATGGTGGTTGGACTGACAAATACATATTCAGCATATAACTAATGAACTTTGATCCTCACCTGCAAGTTCTGTAAGCTTCTCAGCCCTTTTGTTTTTGGTGGTGATAATGCCAACCTGGAATTAAACACAACCCATTCGATAGCTTAGCTAAATAATCAGAGGAGCTTTAGAACCACCCCTATTTACCTGAAACAATGCCTGTCATCCTGTTTACATGCACTTTAACATTTATTACCCACAACATCACTACTATTGAAATTGAGAGAAATAAAAAAAATTAGACAATCAATAGAAATTTATACTGCTGCTTAGTGCTTCATATTCTACCAATGACTGAGCAGTTTTGAAATTACAGAGCAATTGTTTGATTTTTCTTAAAGTAATATTTGAAACACTCCTTTTTGTTAGAAGCCTGTTAAATGTTACTGAAACTGACAGAATGTAATCTACACATAAATGGAAATATTAATATTTACACTTACACTCTTGTGTGTTGGGACAGTGAGGCTGCAAAGTGCAAACATTTGTCTGACATCACAGCATAACTGAATCAAGAGCTCAACATTTCATTTACAGGTATACGGCTCTGATCCACAGTTCAGAGGACAGCAATAATGTTGTGAAGTCAAAAGACACATCAAACAACACATTTACATCAGCAGTTACATTTTGGCGGCAGCGATTGTACTTTCAGCCAAACTCTGGAAGATCCTTCATCATAAACAACACAAAACACATTGCCAAAAAAAACATGAGAATTCATCGGGTGGAAAAGGCAGAGGCTGTTGGACCGAAAAAGTGTTTCTCCAGAAGCCCTTAAGAGTAGCTAAATATTAGTAGTGAAATATTATTCACGCTAATCTTTTTCAACTAACTATCTGCTTGGGTGCTAAAAGTGTTAGTTGAAACACTTTGATGTTCTGTTCCAGATAATTTTCTACAGTCTTCTAAGTGTAGGTGGAAGACAAAACCTAATGTAGTTTATTTCAGAAAATTCCAGATGCCCTTCCGCCACAAACACTGAACATGTTGTCCGTCTCCTCCGTTCTTTAAGCGTAAATCATACCTGGCTGATGGGATTCTGGTCAAAATATTCATCGATGAATCCCTCCATCAGCTGAAGATGAAGAAAGGGAATATGGCTTAGAGAGAATCACCATGTGCAGTAAGTGGTGCCAGGTGAGTTCTGTCTCACCTTCAGGGTAGAGGTGAGACGGTTGGGTTTTAAGTCCTGGTCCTCCATACTGCGTGAACAGTCAATAACAACATATAGGTGGCGCATCTAGAGCACAAGACAATGATAATCTCCTCTGGGTTTCAAAATGACTTTTATGATAACACAACATGGGTGTGAGGTTGTTTCTGATAATACCACCAGACACTGGTCTCACTCAGGGCAACGCTGGAGCCAGGTTCCTGACTTAATTCAAAAATATATTAGCACTGACACAGGTGTTGGTGGCTATTTTTCTAATAACTAGGCTGATGTTAGCATGTGAGATTTATTTTTATCTTGTTATCACTTGACAGCTGGAGGAAGATTGATCATGTGGCATTTGTTTGGTCCTGTGACTGTGATAGTAATGCAAAACAGGATTTTTGCGAAGTCAACAGTGTGGTCGTTTTTTTTTTTTTTTTTTTTTGAGGTGTCAAAAGGGTAAGGAAATGAATATAACATTAGTAAAATCAGTTATTGGCCATGACAGCAATATTAATATTTCATGTCAATATCAGCCCTAATTTTCATATATGTGTATCCCTAATTTAAAAAAATGCTGACAATAAGCTTGGCTGGTTTGCTTTGGTTCTTTTCATTAACATTAATTCCACTGGCTGAACTTATACAATGTCTAAAGCTGGTTGTCTCTGTACAACGCTTTTATTCTAAAGATACAATATTAGTGTGAGAACATAGCATCTATTAGAACTGTAGCTCATATGAGATCTGCCAGCTGTAGTGTCACAGTATGAACTGAAAAACCAGTGGAGAAGCAAAGACCCAGACTTCACTCACCATCCCAAGTCTGACTTGTGCATGGCTTTGTGTCACCCTATGAAGGTAAGCAGAGCAGGGATGTAAAAACCAGGCTGAAAAAGCACATGCAACTAAAGACTAAAATACATCACATTCAATAAACATATGCCTTTTGAAAATAACTTTTAAGCAGGTATTAAACATATTTTTCATTAAATCCAGGTTTCTGTTTTTAATTTTTTTGTTGAACTGATGTGAAATTCTAATTGTGTCATATGTTTGACACAACATACACAAGTTTCCCTTTTCACATGGTAGTGCCAGCTTGTGAATGATAGGAGCTCACTCTGCTTGACCTCACTGTTTGAAAAGGTCATTTTATTACTTAACTGATTATTTTCCACTGATTTAATAATCAGTGGAAATTGGTCCTTAATGCAATTATCACTTAATGATAATTATTTCTATAATACATCAGCTTTTCTAATAGTATTGAAATTGCTGTCTAATGCACCTTTTTCTTTTGGACTCGTACAGGATCTCCTCCACTGTGGCTTTAAGGGAGCCAGACTCATCCTCCTTAAGCACCTCCCTGTAGAAATTCAGGAATATGCCAGGTAGTTGCATCAAATACAAGCACATGTCCTAACCTGAGAATATTCTCACATTACACATCTTACCATGTCCTTTCATAGCCTCCTTCCCAGCGCTTGGCTCTCTCTGGCTCTTCATCCATAGTGTCTGCCAGTCAAACACAGTGAAACAATGATCAAGTCCAAACTATTTAACTGGAACTGCCAAATATAAACTCGTCTGTGAACTGATGAAGAGTGTGTACAGTTAGCACACCTCAAGAACAACAAAGCTTGAAGAAAAGCAAAAATATATTTCACTTATTGTTGTTGATTAGGTTGTCATTGTTGCTCTTTTTAACTAACTGTTAAAATGCTTCCTCAAACAATAACCAGGGTCATGACCATCTAACATTTCGTTTCTTAGGTCAAAAGCTGGAAAGTTTTGGAACCTCTCCTGAAAATTAGTAACAGTGGTTGCTGATTAACCAGATTTGTGGTCAAATGTTGGATTAGTGATCATTACATATTTATGTCATTTTTGTGTTTATTTTTTCAGTATTTTGCAATTCAATTATATGCTTGAAAGATTCACCACCAGTAAGAGGCTAAAAATGAATCTTCATGACTAAATCTTGTACAGTTACATGACAGATTTAAAATCTACTAATTAATGTGGATAAAGCTTTATCATCCATCACTACTCTGAGTCCGAAACACAATGAGCTGAGGCGAAGCTGTTTTAGGGACAACCACCAGAATGAGGGTCCAAACGGGACAACAAAACCCGACTGAGCCCGCTTCATAGATTTTCACATAATGCCAGGTGAGTTTGAACATTTTTTTCTAAATAAATAAAATCTGCATTGTTTTTATCAAGGTGGAAAATAAAGTAAAATATTAAAGAGAAAAGGACACGATGAAAAACAAAAAGACAGAAGTATCCCTTATTGTCCCTCACAGGGGAAACCGACTCATTTCAGCAGGAAGACCATCTTCTTCTCCAGCTTCTGCTCACAAAGCTCAGCTCTCGTTGTCTCCACGAAGAATTAATTACAGATTAATTCTACGCTAAATTAGAGGATTAACCTTTCGCTCCCTTCACTTACCAGAAGTTTATGTGTTATTGTCTTGAAACCAGAGATTTAACTCGCAGTCCATCCGCCAGTTGGTGCACCACAAAATTCTTTCCGGAAGGAAACACGCTGCAGCGACGATCCGTGACAGACCATTTATGACATGTTTAATTAAAACTCCGAGTACAAATTAATAAACGTTTTATTGTGCACAGTGCCGTTTACGTTGCAGAGATGAAAATCCTACAGATATGTCAGTTAAAGAACGGCCCAGCAACAACAAAATCAAAAGTATATGATTGTTGTTAAAATGTAATTCAATTTGGTACAGTAAGAAAAACACTTGATAGGCCAGACATGCATCAATCAGAAACTTCATTTTCCAGCAAGCTGCTGCTCCATTATTGAATATATCCAAGAAAAATACTGTAAAAACTCCTGAAAAGAGTTCATCTCAAATTCCAAAACAGTCATATGATATGGATATCACAGGTTCTTGCACTAAAACTTTAATGTATACAAAAGCTAGCTTTAGCATGTTATGTAGAAAAGTGAATAAAATAAGCCAATGTATGGAGGCAGACTAATAGCAAGATACAACAGATTTTATACACAGCAATTGAATTTGGAAAGTATTCTTAATGCAAAAATACAAAACTATACTCTTTTAGTCATCTCTTGTGGTGAGAATAGAGTGAGAGGCTTGATTAAGACATTCTTTATACAGAGATTAAATAAGATGTTTCAACCGAATCAAGTCACAGGAGAATGCTCAGGGGCGGCGGTCGTATTCACTGATTTTGGTCTTGATGTGTGACAGTTTGGATTTTAGATATTTACATCTCCTCTTCTTCATCTGGTAATCTGGGGACTGACAAGAAAAGAACATACAAACTTTCATCAACGTGGGTTGACACATCCAACACAAAGCCAAGTTCAACTTTGAAACATCTTTGACTTAAAAACAATAAACTGAACCGCCCGCCCTGCAACAACATTTATAGAACAGATTTAGGTGTTTGGGTTGTGCCCAGTGCTTTACAATCAGCTGCTGATTCATACTCCTGCTGATACAGTGCTTGTCCTCGGCTAAATGAAGAGCAGCTCTTCTTTGATTGCAGGAGTAGATTAGCTCTTGACCCTCCCAAATCCAAAGGTTCAGCGTTGTGTTTATTAGGCCCGAGCAGCAAAGCACTATGAAGGCCTATTGTTTTTTTATTCAAATTTTATTCCAGTTGATGTCTTATATCAGGGGTGCTCAAGTCCAGTCCTCGAGAGCTACCATCCTGACACTATCAGATGCATCCCTGCTCCAACACACCTGAATCAAATGAATGACTCGTTACCAGGCCTGTTCATAGCTGAGCCTGGTCTACTGGAGTAAGGCTGCAACTAAAAGTTGCAGGACGGTAGCTCTCGAGGACTGGACTTGTCTTATATCAACTAGAATATCTGGTTTATATCAACTAGTATAATTCAAAGGATTTTAGTTAATTGTTTTTTTTTAATGTTACATATAGAAATTAACATGACATTGACTATCATCTCCCCCCAGTGTTGTCCTCTCTGACCTTCCCCTACCATTCAAAGTAAGACCAAAGGATTTAGAGTCTGAACTAATTAACCAAGACATCATTTATAAAGATGAACTATTGAGACTTCATTCTGTGTTTGTCCTTACATGCTAAATATTAATTCAATTTTTCATAAAAATGTCCAATTTTAGGAAAACCCTATAAAGGTTTTACACCTGCAACCTTCCTCACCATAGTTTTGTTTATCTTATTTTTCGAGGCTAAAAGTTAATCTCCATGGTCAGCTCATTTCATTGAGCACTGCCATGGACACAACTGCTTTAAAAAAGCTCTTGAATATTTTAGAAAATTTTGGTTTTTAACACAACATGTCAAACAAGCAACACACACTCAAGGACACACACTGGACCTGGTTATCAGTAAGGGTGAATATTTCCAATGTCTCTGTAACTGATGTCGCCCTGTCGGATCACTTTGCTGTTATCTTTGAAGGTTCTTTATTCTTTGACCCACTTGGACAAACAGCTACTGTCACAAAACGTTCTTTCACAGAAAACACAGCAGAAACATTTAATCAAATCTACTCTTCTTCCGCACCCTTAAGCTGTAATGATGTAGATCAGTTGGTAGATGATTTTCAGTCTAAAGTTTCATATATCATTGATTCCATTGCCCCAATTAAAGTAAAGGTTGTGTCTGGTACGAAAAAATCTCCATGGAGAAAAGCACAAACAGTTCGATCTGCAAGACAACTCTGTTGCAGAGCAGAACGAAAATGGCGTAAAACTCAACTTCACGTTCATAATGACATCTACAAAGAAAGACTACGTAACTATCACTTAACACTAAAACATGGAAGGGAGGCTTTCTTTGCAGATGTTATTAACAAAAACATGAACAATACTGGAACTTTATTTGCAACAGTTGACAGGCTCACAAACCCTCCTATGACGTTACCACCTGAACTCCAATCTAATGCTGCCTGTAACAAGTTTTCTGATTTCTTTTCAGAGAAAATTCAAAAAATCAGAGGATTAATCTGCACATCAACTCTAAAGCTAGAACCATTGCTGTACCAAAACAAAACAAATACAGGAAAAATGACCCAATTTCAACTACTGAATTATAGTAAAAATTATAGTAGAAGAAATTATAAGTCAATTAAGTTCAAGCTCCTGCTGTCTGGATGTCCTTCCCACACATTTCTTTAAGAAAGTCCTGCTTGTTATTGTTACTGATCTGATCCAAATAGTAACTCATCACTCACATCAGGCGTTTTCCCCCAGGCTTTGAAAACAGCAGTGATCAAACCACTGCTAAAAAAGAACAATCTGGACAAATCACTACTGCAGAATTGCAGGCCGACCTCTGACCTCTGACCTCCCATTCATCAGCAAAGTTATTGAAAAAACTGTGTAAACAATTAAATAGTTTCCTCATGATGACCAACTGCTTTGACTCTTTCCAATCTGGTTTTCGTGCTCACCACAGCACGGAGACTGGCCTAGTCAAAGTATTCAATGATATCCATATAAATACGGACTGTGGGAGAACCACGGTGCTGGTTCTGTTGGACTTCAGTGCAGCTTTTGACATATTACTGAATCGACTGGAGAGTTGGGTTGGACTCTCCGGTTCAGAGCTCAACTGGTTTGATTCTTTCATAAAGAACAAGGATTTCTTTGTTTCAATTGGAAACTTCTCATCAAAGAGGTCAAAGGTCACATGTGGGGTACCCCAAGGTTCAATCCTCGTATTTAATATTTATATTCTCCCACTAGTTCAGGTTATAATAGGAAATAATATTAGCTACCACAACTATGCGGATGACACAGCTCTACATTACGATGTCACCAGGTGACCTTTGACCCCATCCAATCACTGAATAAATGTTTAGAACAGATAAATGTGTGGATGTGCCAAAACTTTCTCCAGCTGAACAGAAACAAAACTGAAGTCATTATTTTTGGATCTAAAGAGGAACGATCTAGAGCTATGGATCTAGAGCTATAGATCTAGAGCTATAGATCTAGATCTATAGTCTAGAGCTATAGATCTAGAGTTAATGCACAGCTTCAGTTATTACAACTAAAAACTAACGATCAGGCCCAAAACCTGGGAGTAGTGATGACTAGAACCTTCAGAGCCACATAAAGACGATTACAAAGTCGGCCTTCTATCACTGAAGAACATCTCCAGGATTAGAGGACTAATGACTCAGCCAGATCTAGAGAAACTCATCCATACGTTTATCTTCAGTCATTGATTATTGTAACAGCGTCTTCACAGGCCTGTCCAACAAATCAATCAAACAGCTGCAGCTGATCCAGAAGCTGCTGCTCCTGTTCTCACTAGAACCAGGAAGATAGAGACATAACAGCAGTTTTAAAGTCTCTCCACTGGCTCCCTGTAGCTCAAAGAATAGATTTTAAAATACTGTTGGTAGTTTATAAATCACTGAACGGTTTAGCACCACAATACATCAAAGATCTGCTGTTGTTGTATCAACCTTCCAGACTCTCAGGTTCTGGTTCTGGTTCTGCTCTGCATCCCCAGAACCAGAACCAAGAGAGGAGAAGCAGCTTTCAGCATCTATGCACCAAAAATTTGAAACAAACTTCCAGAAAACTGTAAAACAGCAGAAACCCTGACTTCCTTTAAATCTCAACTAAAAACACACCTGATTAGAGTTTGATTTGAAAAGTAATCAATTAAAAATGTAATGATGTAACAATGTATTGTTTATTCTATGTTGCATGACTTTGTATTTTTGTGTTTATGATTTGAAATGCCTTGCTGCTGAAATGTGCTATACAAATAAAATTTGATTTGATTTAATATTCCTGGGAAGTAATGTCCACCCACTGAAGGTTGGGACAGTTTTTGTCATTTATCCACTCATCTGGATGTGACGTTTCTGGGTTGTCAAGATATATCTCATTAACTAATGTCAATTTGGATTAATAACTTATTTCATCATGCTGTGATAAACAGTTGTAGTGTGCTGACAACATGCTGGCTAATATTAAAACAGCAAGTCATTGGGGGTTACCATGTCAACTGGTGACAGTTTAAAGGGGGACTGGCTCTTTCTGCTGTCAGGTTGCATGTGCATCCACTGTATTTAAAAACAAATAATCCCTCTATTTTTATTATTGTGGATAATCTTGTTTTTAAAAATATTTTTAATATTTTTGTGACATATGTGCAATGAAATGGTTGCTACACAGTGAGGTAGATGGAATGGGAAGCCACCTGTTCTCTATACCTGCTTTGTCCACTGATCCTTTAGATTTTATCTTTGGGGAATACTTATGGTAGGCTTACGTGTTGACCGGAGTAATTAGAACGTACAGCTGCTGAGCATCTTTTTAATATTCATCCCAGTATACTACAAGAAACGGAGATAATAAAGACTAACATGTTAACGTCAGTAGCATGCTGGATGCTACCTTCATGTAGGGTTTAACCTTTCAGAAAAGGAAATAAGGGTTGCCTTCCACAGTGGACACACCACAACCTTTTTATGGCTGCTTTTGGTAAAAATAAAATAAATTTAAAAAATCAGTTGTGCAATCA